CCCCAAAACCCCAAAACCCCAAAACCCCAAAACCCCTTCAATTATTGTTATAGTTGAAAAATCCTTATAACCAAAACCTAGAAATCTCTAAAGCAAATATCTGACTCTCTTCGCAACCATTTAAGAGTCCCTCTCTAACATCATGCTCGATGATGCCTATGGGGCATCATCTCCAGAGATGCTGTAGGAGTCACTCTCGTTTGATTGTGATGAACTAGACTGATTACCGCTAGAGCTCCGCTCTAGCGAGTACCCAGGCTTCTTTTTCATAGAACGAGCTGAGATCACAGATTCCGTGTTTTGAGAGATATCACTGCTAATGTTAAGCTTGATTTGGTCGATATTGATGGCGAAGGGCCGATCACGAAGAGATTTTAGTTTTATAGGGAATTTTGAACGGAAATCATACACTGTGAAGCGCTGGTCTGGCCTTTTATTACTTGGAAGATCATATCTGTTAGAATTGTCTATTGCTAAATTTTTCTTTTCCAGGCTACAATAAATGTCCTTAAATTACCTGATTTCGTCAATAGACCGAGGTAAAGCGTAAGGTTTGCAACTTTTGAATGGGGGAAGCTGATCTTCATAAGGAATACCCTTAATTATGCCTGTTTTTTCAAGTATTTTCCTGAGTTGTCTCTTTTTATTTTTATGCTCTTCGCTAATCTTGAACTTTTTGTATTCCTTATTTTCATTTACAAATGAGTAGCACTACCAAAACCATGATGAATAGAGCCATCAAGGTACCTGTAAGGATCTAGACTAGAGTAAAATAGTGAAACTAGGATAGTACGGTTTAAATTTTCATAAAATTCTTACGTATCCAATCACAAATCCTCGATTGCATCGATCCTGTTCCTTTCATACACCATCAACTCATCATGTTTGACAGTTATATCATCCGTCTGTTGAGTTTTCGCTCTCTTGAATGAACCTTTGAGTTGCCATTAGTTAGTAATTTTGTTATAAATATTTCAATTTTATTAAAATTCTTGGGGTTTTGGGGTTTTGGGGTTTTGGGGTTTTGGGG